TACCATTCAACAATTAAAGAGCTCGGTGCAAAAACCAGTCAGCTCCTTATTTTTATAATTTGTGGAAAATCAATAAAAACTTTCCAATATTGATATGTGTAGGAATTTTTTGTCGAAAAAAAATTCCAATTAAGTATTGGTATTAGAAAATAATTTAATGTCAAACTGATAACAAAATTTTGTTTTGAGACTTGGACAAAAAAAGTTAAAGTCTTGGAGTTGACTGTTTTTTGCATCGAACCTCCAAAAATTATACAAAGAAAGCAGCATTATTGCGTTCAGCATTTGTTTATCATAAAAATTTCATAAAAAGGATAACATTTTTTTTTAACTCAAAGCAACTATAAAAAACAAGAAAAATAATAGATACCGCAAGAAAAATAACAAATAATGTGATAAAAATAAAAACAAACTTTTCAGCAAAGAAAACGATAAACATAATCTACAAAACTAAAATCTTCAGTTTCAACTTCTCCACTGTCACTGTCCAGTACTTCTTGTTGTTGTTCATCTTGATTTGTTACTCGTATTTTCTCGTAATACCAATTATATATTGGTGGTACGTATTTATCTTCCAAATACATAACATTTGCTATTTTTTTGGGTTTATTTTAAGTGGAAATGTGTTGTACACTTTATAGTTTATTTTTATGAATGAGAGAGTAATTAGCATAATTTTAACTGGTATCTCCGACCACTCCATGGGCGTGCTCAAGATTAATTGAAAAAATACTTTGAATAATTGTAAAAAATAAATGAATTATTTCAGTGTTATAAAGTGTTATGTGTATGTAAACAAAAGTGACCTCTTTTATCACACACTATATTAGAACTGACTGACCTACATTAAAAAGGGTTTTAAAAAATTCACATTTTTTTTAATTTTTAAAAATTACAAAAGAGAAAAAGAGTTTTTAAAACCGTCTAAGGTATGTTAAATAGATGAATAAAAATATTAATATAAAACTTACATCTACTTGTTACAAATCCAAATCAGATTCAGAAGATGAACTTTCAGAACCAAGATTTATAATAACTGGCTCGATCATTTAATCAGTAATATTGTCCAGCTTCCACATTTTTTCCTCTTCTTTAATAGTGTGATTTACTGCCTTTTCCCAGTTTTCAGGTTTTACATTATTTACGGCCTCCAAAAACAACTGTTTAACATCATGAATTTTAAAAGTGGTATTTTTTCTTGAAACTTCACTCTTTATCTGTGCCCATACCAGTTCAATCGGGTTTAATTCACAATGATATGGTGGGGATCTAAGTACTGTCATTCCACGATTTTTGGCAATTTCATCAATTTCGTATTTTTTAAATTTTTCTTAATGAAGGGCACACAACGAATAAAGTTCCTTTCTTATAGATCCGGGATGGTACGTAATATTTTTTGAACTCAGCCTATTCTGCAAGTCTTTTTTTAACCACTTGGTTGTGGGCAGTCCTTCTATAAGTCTGGAGTGATAACCTGCATTATCCATTACTATTACACAGTTCTTAGGAAGAAGATCTATCAGTTGTTCGAACCATTCTTAAAAGACATCAGCATTCATGTCTTCATGGTAGTCACCGGTACGAGTTGATTCAAAAGTTAATAAACCACCTTCAACAAAACCGTCTGAACTGCCAATGTGTACTATTATCAGCCTGCGTCCCTTTCCTGATGGTGGGTTTAAACCAGTAGATAAGTTATTTACAAAAGCGTGTCTTTGACTTGTAACAGTTTCATCCTGCCAAAATTTATTTGGTGTATGACCCTCGTTGATCCATGTTTCATCAAGATAAAATATTTTTCTTTTTTGGTTTCTCATTTCCTTTATGGTTCTTAGAAAATGTCTTCTACATATGACAATATCGCTTCTTTCTAATAAAATAGACTTTCTGGGATTCTTTTTCCAGCGGAAGCCTATTTCTTTTAAAAGTTTCCATAACGTACTTCGACTCATTTCTGTGTAATCCTTATCATCTCGAACTGAGACAAGAACTTTATCCAATGTTGGAAATTCTTGTCTAAAGAAGAATTCATGCACTTTCCGTCGAAGTCCTTCTTTAAAATGATATTCTATTTGAAATTTTGGTTTCCCTGGAGCATTACGTGGCATTTGAAAACTACCACATTTCTCTTCTTTAATAACTCTGTAAATCGTAGATTTCCCAACACCAAGTGTACTGCTAACTAACTCAACGGTCTCATCAACACTTTCACATAAACGTTTGTCTGTAAATGATTTAAAACAATTAAATATTAATGTTTTTTCATTAACTGTTAAAGGACCAATTTTTCGGCGTTTACACGGCACTTCCAAATTTTCCATAACACTAGTATACACAATAAACTGAACCTTGCAACTGAAGTACCTACTTTTAGTGAACTGTTAAGAATTTTGAATACGCCACTTGGACCTTCCTACAAAATGGAAAAACCCACTATCACATTTTCTGTGGAATAAGTTTAGAAGGTAATTATCTAGTCAATTACTGTCGTAGATTCCTGGAATTAAAGAATTAAATGTTTGATTGTTGAAACCCTTACTTCGTGGAATGCACTCATTTCAGATAAAATAAAACGTTTTATTTTATCTAAAGAATTAAACTTTATTTTGCAAATAGGTAGGTACTTATTAAACTTTTATTGGTTATATATATTTTATTGGTTATATATAACCAATAAAATAAACATCTTACATTTCTTGCAAATTCATTAGTACCTGTTAACCTCCATCACTCCGACACTGGCAACCTTATTTAGGGATTAGTAACCCTCACAAGTATTGTATTCTATTCTGCTCCAACCTTTATACCTGGTGGTCATACTCAATTTAAAATTGTTTTCCTATATACTTCTGTAAACTTGTTGACAAATATCTGTTTTTCATTGAGTCACCCGTATCAACAGTTTAGGGATTGGCATACATAATTTATTGTTTTATTACTCTCTCATACATAAAAATACACTATAGTACTTGGCCAAACTAAAACTTCGTTAGGTTTTTTGATGACAAATGTAACACTGCACTGTATTATGTTTTTTTTTTTCAATCGTTTCAATTCGTTTTGTTTCAATCGTTGTTTTTGTTGGTTACTTATGACTTTTTTAAAAATAGGTTTAAAAGTATTCAAAACATCGGTGATCATATCCTGGGTAACATCTATTACGCGAAACTGTCTTGATGTTTTCTTGACTAATTTTCTCCATTCAGAAGGTAATTATACTATTTCTATTTTCTTTTTCAATCGGACCAAATTAACAGAATGCATTTTTGCATACTATGGATTCCTGGCTTTCTACAAGTAACTAAAAAAATATATTTTAGAACCAACTATTATATTTTGCAACAAAAATATTACCTTATACTTATAGGTGCTGTTCTTTTCTTTACCTCTACTGTAGTCGTGCGTTCCCTTTGCACCTTTGAAACACTGATTAATCCTCCTAGATAAATGTCTTATTTAGTTTTCTCTCCCTTACTATAAAACTGCTACAGTACGTTATGGGTATCATCTGTTTTAGTAGAACATCTTTTTCTACAATAGAAATTTGTTCTAGTAGTTTTCTTTTGAATTAGTTTATTTGCCGAACAATAACAGAATACTTTGATCGCCGTCGACTGCGACCCGGAACATCAGAATCGGAGTAATCCGATAACATGTAGTCAGTCCCAGAATCTGAATATGGCTCTTCCTCACTAAACTCACTACTTGAACTAATACTCATAAGACAACTATTATATGTGTTTTACACTTTATTGGTACCTCCGATGCACTACTGCAATGTTGAAAACAAATAATTGAAATGCTATGCTATTCCGTTTGATATCACCGTAGCCTGATTTTCTGATGCTGCTAACGATGGGTAACACACTAAATTTTTGGGTGTTGATACAGCAAGACTGACGCAGCTTATTGTATCAACTCAGTGTGTCAACACTATTGTATCATATAACACAGTAAGCCATTGACACTACGTGGACGTTGAAACCTTTCCTAAGCTGTAACATATGTTTTGCATTTACTTAATAGCTGTGCGAGACTGACCGAGAGTTGATCGTTTCCCAAATAAAACCTTTTTGAGAACAAAGGACACAAAACGATAATAGATCAGACATGTTGAAAACTCAAAATGTGTTTGTTGTAGTTTGATTGATGAACTAGTCAGATATATTGCGACGTTGTCAGTTTTTTGACAGCAGTCGAAGATTTGTAGAAAAAGCTAGAAGTGTGAAAAAAATTATGGAGAAAAATATGCGATATTTTCGTGGGATATAAATCAAAGTGCTAAGAGCGATTGTAGATAGATGAGCCTCGAGAAAACTGACAATCCAAGGATCACAAGGTGAGAAAGAGAGAGAAAAAAGAAGAGATTCGGTAAAAAATATTGTAAGCTATTTCCGACGAAGTAACCATGCATTAACTCAATTGAAAGCGAAAGCAGAGCGAATTGATATACCATCACTAAAATTAAAAAATGATGTAGTTATGCGATGGAATTCCACATTTGATATGATAAAGAGAATTTTACAGATGAAAAATGCAATCCTATAAACATTGGCAGTTTTAAATAGTTCAGCTACAGAATCTGTTGCGCCTCTACAAAACGAAAACTGGACTATTGCTATATAACTAACTATTTAACTATATAACTGAACAGTCCATTAAAGTTCTTCAAATTTTTAATTTAGTTACTACTTCCATAAGTTCCGAGCAAAAATTTAGTGCTTCGTCAATAATATTTTATTAAAAACAAATTACGAAACACATGAATTCATTTGACATAAATAGAATGATGCCTCAGTTTCAAAATATGGTAAAAAAACTGCAATTTGGCCTAAAACATAGATTTTCAGATATAGAGGAACATATTTTAATAGCTTAAGCAACAATTTTGGACCCCAGATTTAAAAAAATTGGTTTCATAGACGAAAGACAATATCTCAAAGCAGTAGAGAGTTTGCACAGAAAGGTAGCCAACACAAAATTACCTACACAAAAATAAAATGAAGAGGAAAATATTGAACAACCAATTCAAAACGATAGCGTATAAGGAAGATCTACTTCAAAATTTGTGGAAAGATTTTGACAAGGAAGTTCAACAGCACCAACAACCAAGCGACCCAACAGCGTCTGCCATTGTTGAGGTAGACACATATTTAGAAGAACCGATTTTACCGAGAAAAGATAGCTCCAGTATATCCCAGGATCCGTTATTGTGGTGGCACCAAAGGATTTTACTTTGGACACATTTACCCAAAATTATACCAAATTATGAAGACTAGGCCAAATTATTTTCTAAAGCCGGACAGATAGTCAACGAAAAGCGAGAGAGATGGATAAAGACGGATAAAATCTGTCAAGTGATTTTTTTTAGTTATAACAAACAATAGCGAATAAGTAGGTGTATATTTTTTTACTTTAAAATTTTTAACAGAAATATATTCAAATTAATTCTTTAGGATTTAAAATTATCTGCAGACACTGTAAAAATATATAAAACGTGGCAACCAGGTAAAATACAAAATAGTCAACGCAGTTGAAAGCGTTTGAAAGACACTGTCTGTCACTGTTCTGTCTCTTTTTGTTGTATCTTGTATCAAATCGCACTTTGCGGTGAATTGCATTGCTCGGACCGGAAACACTCGGGGTGTTACGACACTGTTACTGTGTCATGACACTTTATTGTCGCTGTGTCAATACACATGACGCACCGTAAAGTATCAGTACAAAAGTGTCATACCACACAGTGTTACACATGACTAGATGCTGCCAATCTTAATGTAATGCCATTGGTGTCAAGAAACAGTCATTTCCAGAAATTGACCGATTCTTGCACGTAAGTACTCTTATTGATTGATGCAGTCAACTCCTTAGCAGAATTATTTAATTTAATATTTGTTGGAGATGACTGCTACTTGCACCAAAAGATATGCCTTATTTTTATCTCATCTCTCTCATCAATTTATAGAAAATGCGAATATGCCTTTTGCAAAAATAAAGAATATATATATATATATATATAAAAAAAACAAAGATTAAATTTTGAAAAACTTTTGGATGCATAATCTTTTGTTAGTGTCCTTTTACAATTATAAGCCAGATCATGTCTATACAATGAGCACGTAAAGGTTGGAATAAATTCGTTTAAAGGCTTGATTTACCCATTGGGCAAAAAAAAGCTCAGACAGGTCGATTTTATTTTTCAATTCCTCATATTCTGCTGAACTCATATTTTTGATGTGAATTCGAACAGTGATGAGGTCATTATCATTTTTTTAAACAGTAATACCTTATTTTGACACTGTTAATGCTTGTATTTTGAGAACGATTTTCGAAGTGAAAATTGAAACGTCAATAAACTTAGTTTAAACTTCAATTGTAGCTTATTCCCATTAAAATAGTAATCGAAAAGAGTGCATCTTTTTAACCGAATTGCAACGCATAGAGATTTTAATGATAATGGGTTATAGAGATAGGATTCGTACACAAGCTAAGGTTTGTAACTTAATTAAAAATAAACGTTCCGATATTCGTTTGTGTAGGCATACCATGGACGTATATACGCTCTACCAATTTTATATTGATAACCTTAAAGTTAAACCTTAAAGTTAAAATTTGTGTTGTAGCTTTAATTATAATAATAAGGTTTAAGAAAAAATCACAGTTCTAAAAAAAAGCGTTTATGCAAAGGAATATTAAATATGTTGAATGAGGAATTATTAGTAGAAGAGCCTTTGGCATATAAAAACTTTTTACGAATGAATAATAATGTGTTTAAAACATTGTTACCACCAGTTGAGAATAACCTCATTTTTAGTTCATCATATAAATATTTCATCATTTTTAGTTCAAGAAATTGGAACATGTTCTAATTTTTAGTAATGAATCGGCGCACGCATCTAATTTATAGATACAATATATTTAGTTTTAAATTCAGTACTGAATATAGTATAATGGCAAGCAGACTTAAGGTTTTTATAACTTATAATTATATATTCTAATTGTTCAAAACGATAGTAGGTAATATTTGTTGTTGTAGCGCAAACTGCTACAGTAACAGTGAAAGTGGTTGCACTTTTTATCAAGTTCCGAGTCAAAATCATAAAAAAGCATCATTGCATTGTGGATTGCAGCTATAAGGTCTAATGTATATAGAAAGAAACGTGTCCGTAGAATAATAATACTGTTATAGTAATATATAAATATAATTTATATATTTACAACAGTAAATCTGTATTCACAATTGCAAAAGTGAGGTTAGAATTAGAATCTCAAAAAATTAATATAAAATAATTTCTGAAATTAGTTTTTAGTTCAAATAAACTTTATAATTATATAAATTGGTATAATAAATATAAAATATATAAATTGTTATTATATTATTGTTCAGAAAATATACATAATAAGCTAGTAAAATGTTTATAATATATAACTCAACCTTGTGTGTTTGTAAAAATATACAAATTTTGAACTGTCAACAAATCTATTTGTATATTTACATTTGTAAATATTATATATATATATATATATATATATATATATATATATATATATATATATATATATATACATCGGTTTAGAACGTCTTTCGACGTTGTCCGATACCTAAACACCATCTCTTCCTATCTTCGCAGTCGTTTGTTGTTAAATTTCTTTCGCTCATGGACTTGTTTACGCCGTGTTGCCATTCTAATCTGGGTCTTCCTCTTTTCCGTCGACCTATCGGTTGCCATTCTACTACTTTTTTGGGGAGTCTTGTTGCTGGCATCCGTTGAACATGCCCATACCACCTTAATTGTTTCTTCTCTATATCTTGAGTTATATTTTCTTCTATTCCCATACGTTGTTTTATTACATCATTTCTGATTCGGTCTCGTCTGGAAATACCTAAAGATCTTCTCATTGCATCCATATCTACTGATTATGCATCTCTACTACTTGTATTTATATAATAATGTATTTATATTATCTATTTGTTTATTTGAAGTCAAAATTTAGACGTTTTGGCAGTGTCGGTAATAAATATACGAAAGGCCGTTAAGGCCTCACGCAAGATCAACAGTTGGATGTAATATCATCAGCGCAAGAAAATCCTCATAAACCTACCTGTCAAATTGCATTGAAACAATCGATATGTCAAAAGTCTCTTAAAGAGAATAAGTACCACCCACATAAAGTGCCAGTAATTTATGAATTTAATGAAGATTATTATTTTGATCGAATTTGGTGAATTAATGATGGATAGATGTGATGTGTTTTCTCAGACTTCCCGCACTTGAGGCACTGTACCCAAATCATCAAAGTCCTGATCTACCGGACAATTCGCTATGGTGGAGCTATACCAGCAAGATAGAACATCACCACATTACGCACGACATGTACGAGAATACATAACTAATATTTTTCCTAAGATATGAATTTTTGACCAGGACTTTTAGAGTGGTCAGCTAGATCTCCTGATCTGTCCCCACTAGATTTTTTCTTATGGGGATACCTTGAGTCTAAAGTTTACGTTAACAGACCTAATAGTATTAATAAACTTAAAGAGAGAATTAGGACCGAAATTAATTTAATTAATGCTGATATCCTTAATAATGTTTTGCAAGAGTTTCAACATCGCCTTGCATATTGTCAAGAAACAAATGGTTTGCAATTTGAGAATTTAATTTAATAGTTTTTAGGTTTTGTTTGTAGGTTTATGAGCAAAATATCTTTTATTTTTTTAATATCCGGTTATGTGACATAAGCGACATAAGAAAAAATATGACATTCATATACAAAAAGATGCGCTTTTTTTGATAATAGTCGTAAAGATATTACCATTTAAAAAAAATGGTAATGACGTCATAACTAGAACAGAGGTCACGTCATCAAAAATATGAATGCAGTAAAAAAATGCTGAACTGAAAAATAAAATCGACCTGTCAAGGTTTTTTTACCCAATGGCTAAATCCAGCGTTTAATGAATTTATTTCAACCTTAACGTACTCACTGTATAATATAGACCACACTTTTCAGAGTTATTAAAAATATTTGATTCTATTTTAGGATCTCTGTGATGATTTATATTTACTTTTTAAACAAGATAAAGGTTTTGATAGAAATTTATACGAACGTCAGATGTCTGTAATGAGGGGCCAAATATTAAATTTAACTCAAGCTTTAAAAGACAGCAAATCACCAGTGCAGTTGGTCCAAATGCCTGCAGTTGTTGTTGAGAAGTAAGTATTTTCTATCCTGATTTATATTGGTATTTAGTATAGTCCACCTATTTTGGGATACAGAGATTCCATATTTATAATATGGAATCTCCGTATCGACCTAGAGTCTCTATTCGGAAAAGAAAATCTGGTCAGATATATAAAGGCCAATAGACTCAGATGGGCAGGGCATGTGATACGCAGTAAGGACAATCGCCTTATAAACAATGGTTTCTGGGAAAGGCCAGATGGAAGAAGGTCTCTAGGGCGGCCTAGAAAAAGGTGGAAAGATGCAGTCAAAGATCTAGAGAAAATGGGAGTGCGACAATGGGAATTACTGGCACAGAACCGACAAACATGAAAGGCAATAGTAAACGCGGCAAAGACTCACGAAGAGTTGTAGCGCTATTGATGATGATGATAATGATGATGATGACTATTTAAAGATTGGTACGAGATTTAAAATATAATATTTTTATTCCCATGCCAGCGCATGGCATACAAGATTTCCAGAACAACGCTCGTATAATAATTTGCAATTTGAAAATGAATCACTGCGTATAAAAATTGGAACAAACATAGGTTAACATGTACCCACTAATTTTTTTGAGCTTTTTTGTTGCTGAGCTTTTTTGAATTGCTTTATTTTTCTGGTCATTCTGAAAAATTTGTACCATTTTTCAACTTCGATAGTCTAAACAACAATCAAACGTGTCGACAACTGAATATTTCTGGCGAAAAAATGTTCCTTCTAGTATGTAGGCTTTAAAGTCTGTTTCTTCTTCAATACTAGCCTCCTAAGTTGCCGCACCATTTTTTCTTGGTCTGCCAATACTTCTTCGTCCATTTGGTGACTTATCCCGTGCTATTCGTACTATTCTATCCTCTGCCATTCTAATGATATGTTCGTTCCACTCCTGTTTTCGTTTTGTCACCCATCCATTTATGTCTTCTATATTGCATGCTCTTCTTACGTTTTCGCTTCTCTTCCTATCCAATAGACTTCTCCCTGATATTCGTCGGAGTATTTTCATCTCTGTTGTTTCTAGCAGTCGTCTCGTTTTAGATGTGTCAGGTCTTGT